TCAAACTGATAGAATCAGTATATTGATCTTCTTAAACCCTACAATTTTTGTTGGAAACACTTTTCTGTAAAACGTATATTTTCCGAGATATTTAGGGGTTTCCACACTTTTGGTAGACCCTGTATATATATTGTGACGTTTCCGTCCTGTAGCGCGTCCATCCGCCCCGAGATTTTACGGGGCACGGGCCGAGCGGTTGCGCCAGAATCAACCTCGAGAGAGCGTTATCGAAAATCCCCGGAGAGACGTGCGCTATCGTTATTTTGTTAGCCTTATTATTAATTATGTTGGTATTTTTTTTGTTTGTCATAAACGACAACGGGCACCACGCCGGAGAAGATCCGGAAGACCGGAAGCACATCAAGGAAGATTGCGCTAAGACGCTCGTCGACAGCGAACGGAGGAAATAGTAGCACTTGGAAACACGATTAGCAAAGGACGATACCGGGAGAATTCACCCGCGTTCCGGAAAAGGGGACGGAAGTAAGATCAACGCTACCCTCCGAGGAGGACAAACGACAACGAAGTCTCCAACGAGTCCTTGCAAATGGGCCCGCGGCAGCTAATAATTCAAATCGAATTAATTGCGCGCGAAGCGCCGCAGATCTCGCGAGGCACTAGGACCTCTTGCGTGCCGTGCCCTGATTGGCCGCGGGGCTGCACACCCCACTAAGCGGTCATTGTCGCCGCTATCGACCCCGGGCAGTGTTCCGATTAGGGATTCCGTGCGCGCGCATGTGCGGTTCTGCGCATGAGCAATCGTGACGTCACAGGTGATTACAGTAACGTACTAAGCATGTGTGTAATAACGTGTACAGTTTTGGCGGGACGCTATCGCCATGACAGGAGGAGGACAAGAAAGATCAATAGGAGGATCGATATGTTAATAATATATATTAATAATTATATATATATATATATATATATATATATATATATAACATGTTATATATATAACGTCTTTATACACACATATATATTTTTATTTATAATTTTTTCATATGTATCTATATGTATAGCTGGGTAACGGTGCCCTTTTTTATTAGTATAAGGTACTTCATTGACAGCGTATTGCCGCACATGCGCGCGCACGGAATCCCTAATCGGAACACTGCCCCGGGCCGCGAGATCCCAGGATCACTCTGGTGCGGACGCTCGAGCGAATAAGTCTAATTGTATAGTCGTTGTCGTTATCGTGAGTTTGTCGCTGATTGTCGAGACCGAGCAGAAGACGAGGCCGAGGACCATCCCCAACAGGAGGAAACATAGTCGGTGAGGTTGCCCATCTTTCCTTGTAAGCCACGTACGCGATTTCGTCTGCGTGTCGGCCGTTCTGCCGTCATCGCCATTTTTCATGTTTCGCGACTGCTCGATCCGTTTGCTGAGCCGTCGATATTTCGCGTATTTGTCGGGCGACCGGAGGCAAGCGACCGAGGAAGGACCATCGTAACGTCGGCGTTAAATTGATAAGGCAACGTTCATCTCTCTCCGGGTTTCGGGTGTTCTGTACGCGTAGCTATCGACCGCCGAATATCGACCGCGTGCGCGAAGGATCGCGAAAGCGAATACCGCCCGTGTTGTCGTACCGCTGTTGTTGCCACGTAGAATATTCCGTGACGTATCTCAGGGGATTTTTGATGTCTGATTGCGTGTATGTCGTCGTCAATTGTTAAAAGTGCGTATGAGCGTTTCTTGTATTTTATTATAGTGTGAGCGTGAAAATGCGTCATTGTCGCGCCTATTACGTCGAGCGTAATAAAGGATAATAGAATATTTGCGTCTTCGTCACGTTTATTGCGCCGTCGAATAGCGCGTAATAAACGATAAACTTGTATCGAATTAGTCGTGGTGAAATAGTCGCCAAAGTATTGAGAGTGAAATCTGAGCGGCTTACGCGGAAGAAAGAGGCGAAACGTCGGCGGAGAAAAATCTCCGTCTGCCGTCGGCTATCGAAATTTGAGAATATCGTTCGCCTGTCGCATACATGATCCGTCTTCGCAAAAGTATTTTCGATCTATGGTTACTTATGCTATCGAATTATTAAGCTATCGATTTGTTTTGCGAACTAGGAAATTGCGAGGAAAAGTCCGTAGCGATAAGTTGTCGATCTGGCTGCCGAAATTACGATATCGTTTGAGTATTATCCGCGAATATTTCCGTGCCGAAAACCCTTTGTATTCCGTAAAGTCTCGCTCAGTCCTACGAATTCCGGCCATAAAAACGGGTTCGGATAAATACTCGGATTACCTTAGCGCTCTCGTTTTCGTTGTCGATTTCGAGCAGATATTTGCTCAGAATACCGTCGCATTATTCGCGCCAGGATTGATTGTATTGTATATTTCGCTTTCGTATTTCGTTCGAATTTATTGTGAACCATCGTTTCAATTTGATGTGTATGATTCGTTCTCGTTTCTCGTGGAATTAATAGCGAATCAATGTCTCTGTAAGGAATTACTATTCTCAGTTGAATTATCGCTTTTAATCGATTGCTGAGTTATTGTTCAAAATCGATCCACTTCTTATTATTGATTTCTTATCATTCACTCGTATTGTTATTTTATTTTTCTAGTAATAAACTTGTTATCTTTCTTTGTTCAAATCGCGTAATTTATTTAAGTGTTCGTCTCGCTTTGTTGTCGATTGTCGTTTTATCTGTCGTGTGTTGGTTCCGTGAAGACTCGCATAATCAATTAACTTTTTCTAACGACCCTTCCCCTCTACCGTTAGGCGAACTAGTCGGCCCGTGGCGAAGCAGGCTATCGTTTTTAGCGTCTTTCGGCTTTTCGCGAAAACTGATGCGTGAAAGACCGCATCTGGCGCCCAACTTTTCGATATATCGATACGGCCTCAGCTCCGCCGCGGCTCGCGCAAGAACGCCATCCGTCTCGGTTCCTCTGAGCGCGAGTATATTAATTTCGTTAATTTTTTTTGACGGCGTTTTCGCTCCCCCGCGCACGCTCCCATCCAAAATCTCGAGGAGTATCGCGATTCATTTGAATAAACGTCTAATTGAATAAACGTCGCAATATATATATATATATATATATATATATATATACAGAGTTTCAGACCACTCGTACCACCCATTTAAAAACTAGAGAAGTGGTTATTTAAAAAAAGTAAAAAGATTTTCTTTATAAATCGAGTGCGCTCTATCGAATAGTGATATTTTCAACTTCTGGTTCCGGCTGAAAATAGGCGATTCAGACCGGAAGTGCATTTTTTTAAATGGAACCCCCTCTTTTTCATTGCATATTCTTGTAGCCTTACATCCAGAGCTTTCCAAAACACTAATAAATTATTTTTCCATGAAGTGCTTTTAGAGTTATGAGACTTAAAATCATTACTTAATTTTACATAAACTATAAAATATCTTGTAAAATATTCATTTTTCGATTATCTTACCTTAATACTTTTATGTACAAAATAATGAGCAGAATCAATTGGTATAAAGAAAACATACAGTTGTTTTAAGAAAAAATATGGAATTGTTAATTCAAATTGCTTTTCAATTTCAAGAAGTTGAAAATATCACCATTCGATTGAGCGCACCCGATTTATAAAGAAAATGTTTTTACTTTTTTTAAATAATCACTTCTCTAGTTTTCAAATGGGTGGTACGGGTGGTCTGAAACACCTTGTATATATGTTAGGCTCAAAGACCGAAAACGCTCACTGAACGAAAAAACCGATCACAACGCGTTCTGACTTCTCAGATTCAGCCACAACGCGAAATTTGTGTCGAGGCACTTTCCAAAACGCTCATAACGCGTTTAGGCATATTCAAAAAGGTCCCAAAGCGAAATTCGTGTTGAGGTTCTTTTGATAATCGACCAAAACGCGTTCTGGTAATATAAAAATGCCACAACGCGTTGTGGACGCTTATTGATGCAGCCATGACGCGATGTAAGACAAATACAATCTATCAACGGCCGACGGATTCATGCACATTCTTGTTCGTTATTTTATTTAGCGTATTGCTAGAGTGTGGACGTTGTTGGTTTGCGTGCTAATTATGTGGTACGAAATATTCAAAAAGTAAAAGAAGCTCAGTTACTTCGAAAAAATAAGCGATCGGTATCATCAAAACAGTATCGTCGTATAAAGTGATACGACATCTTAAAACTTGGTGATACTGAAAAAGTGATTGAAAGTGGTTCTAAAGATATGGACGATTCTAAAATTCGCTATTTCTGTAAGGCAGATGAGCTATTTGATGTATTGGAGGTAGCATATCTCAACGTGGGACATAAAAGGACAAAAGGTAATTAAATCTTTGAAATTTGACGTTTATATTGATACAGCAATAATGCAATAAAAATAAAATTATAAAGAAAAAAATTATAAAGAAAATTAACAGTTAGCCTTATTAATCCTATAGATCTTACAATAAAATTTAAAACAATTAAGTTTCTGTAATAGAAGTTTTCATTCATCAGTATTTTTTATTAATAATAATATAAAATACTGTTTAGAGTTGCTCTCTTTGTGAGAGTTCTTTTATTAAAAACAAATTTGCCATCAATTGACAAAATCATTTACAAATAAATTTTTTTATTTGACTAAAATTTACAATACTTTTTTTCATACGTAAGTATCAAGTATTCATAAAATAAAATAATTGACGTTATTTTGTTATAACAATCGACGTTAATTCAATTAAAATGAAACAAATTGTCTTTTTGATTGAGAATTGTAAAAGAAAATACAGTTATCTTTATTAATACTATGACTCTTTTAATCAAAGAAGATTTGGTAATAGAAATCTTCATTAATTAGTATTTTTCTAATAATAAACATTGTTCATAATATATATTGGTCCCTTTGTGGGAATTATTAATAAATTATTTATTTTTGCAAGAACTATTACTGACATTTGGAATTGCACTTTATATTTTTAGAGAGACATTTGCATTTTTTGTCAATGCAGTATCTTTTACAGTGGCAGCTTATAAAACCTTGCTTACTTCCAGATGACAACATAGAAGCTGAACGAAGAGTTAGTGAAGTACGTCTTGCAGTTCAATAAAGTTGCTCTCAGCAACTATAAATTCATTGCGAGCATAAAATCGCTCAAGGAGCCCTTCTTTGGTACCTAATTGATAAAGCCCTGATGAATTATTTCCGGCAACAACAGCTAAGACATTTCTGGGAGCAGCGCGTCCTTTATCAACGTCAGGCACTCTGACCGCTACACTAGTTCGAATATCAACTTTAGGAAATTTTGAATTAGAAAATGAAATCATTTTTTGTGCTTGTTGTTTTTGACCAGATTTAGCACATTCTCTCTCAACGCTGATACTGTTCTTCCTTATACAGAGCTTGCAAGTAACGTTCTGTCTGAAACCCTCATTATTCTCATCACTTTCTCCGCAAATAACGTAAATATATTGATGACATCCTGAACACTTGTAAGCTCCTGAAGTTTTGTTTTCACAAATCACACAATAAATTTTGCTGTCATCTTTTTTTTTTATTCTTGTGTAACCTCTCCAGCTTGAGGTATATTTTTATCTTTACTAGATTGTTCGTTAACTTCTTCTTCGTCAGTCTTATCTTGATCATTGTTCTCTATCGAAGAAAGAAGTTGTTCCAATTCTTCTTCAGTTTCTATAGAAGAATACATGTCACTGGAAAGAGAGGAATCCGTAAGTCCGATCTTTTGCGCTGATCCAAACATAGCCTCATAAGGACTTGTCTTAATTACCGAATGGAGAGCTCGATTCTTCTTACTTTGAATAAATCGGAGTCCTTCAGACCATTTTTCTGTATTATTGTCAGCCATCCACGCTACCAGCATGTCAGAATATCTTGGTTCGACCTTTCAACCGAACCCTGACTCTGAGAATGTCGCGGTTTATCATTAACAAGCTTCATTCCAGGCCACATATCGGCCAAACTTTTAATTATTTTATTTACGAATTCACAACCATTATCGCTTTGAAATATACATGGGGCACCGAATAAACAAAATATGTCTTTGAGTTGGTAGGCCACTTCCTGGGCAGTCTTCGTCTTAAGAGGACGATGAATTGTGAATTTGGTTAAATGATCTTGATAATTCATAATGAATCGATAATCTTTATCTGGCTCTGACTGCATGTCAATCAAGTCCACTTGACATCGAGAGTTCATGTAGTCAGATAAAATAAGTTGTACAACTAATCCATGTTTTGGTATATTTTTCTTCAATTGACACTGTTCACACAAAGACAGAAAAACATTTATTACTTGACGAGTAACATTACAATATTTCTTTTTTAGTTCAGCTTCCATAACTGAAACATAAATAAAAATAATGTAGAAAAATATTAGACAAACACAAATTATTAATTATTTATTGACTATGAAAGTAAAAACTTTATTAACTACTATCATACCTAACATGTCTAACTATACTTCGCGATATCAATCTTGTGCCGAAAACATCTTGGAATTCGTAATATAACGTAAATATGTATCAAATCTAGTCAAATTTCAAAAATGTACCTATCTCTTTTTCTTTTATGTCCCACGTTGAGATGTGCTGCCTCTAATACATCAAATAGCTCATCCGCCTTAGAAATAGAGAATTTTAGAATCGTCCATGCCTTCAGAACCACTCAATCAGTTTTTCAGTATCACCAAGTTTTAAGATGTATCGCTTTATATAACGATACTGCTTTGACGATAGCGATTGCTTATTTTTTCGAAGTAACTGAGCTTCTTTTACTTCTTGAAGTAGATATTTCGTACCGCTCGTTATCGATAAAAACACTCCGATCAGTACTTGTTTTCTTCAACTCACTCAATTTATCATAAAAAATCTTCTTTTTATCAGACATGATTAGCACGCAAACCAACGACGTCCACACCTCTAGCAATACTAAATAAAATGACGAACAAGAATGTACATGAATCCGTCGGCCGTTAATAGATTGCATTTGTCTTATATCGCGTCATGGCTGCATCAATAGGCGTCCACAAAGCGTTGTGGCATTTTTACATTGCCAGAACGCGTTTTGGTCGATTATCAAAAGAATCTCAACACGAATTTCGCTTTGTGGCCTTTTTGAATATGCCAAAATGCGTTATGAGCGTTTTTAAAGTGCCACGATACAAATTTCGCGTTGTGGCTGAATCTGAGATGTCTGAACGCGTTGTGACCGGTTTTTCCGCCCAAGGAGCGTTTTCGGTCTTTGAGCCTAACATATATACTAAGACTGTGAATTAATTTGGAGGGACTTATAATAGATCACGTAACTTATGCTATATCGCATCGGATACTTCTGTAACTATATTCATGTCAAAGCTCTGTCATTAGGTTTTACTTTTTATTATGTCATTTTGCTGAAGTGTAAACAACATATTTTTTCTCAGCTCCGAAGATGTCGAATTACGAGCTAACAAAACACCATTTGCGAGAAGTTTTACTTTTCTTGTTTAATTCAAAGAAAAATACTGCTGAAAGTCATCGAGTGCTGTTGGAAACTTACGGTGAACATAATCCATCGATAAAAACGTGTGAGTATTGGTTTCGACGTTTTAGAAGTGGTGATATCGATACAGTTGACAAAGAACGCCCTAGTCAACCGAAAAAATTCGAAGATGAAGAATTGGAAGCATTACTCGATCAAGATTCATGTCAAACGCAAGATGAACTTACTGAATCGTTGAATGTTGATCGCACAACAGTTTCCAAACGTTTAAATGCATTCGGTATGATTCAAAAGCAAGGAAATTGGGTGCCATACGAATTGAAGTCGGAGATGTTGAACGGCGGTTTTTCACGTGCGAACAATTGCTTCAACGGCAAAATAGAAAGGGTTTTTTGCATCTTATCATCACTGGCGATGAAAAATGGATATGCAAAACATAATCCTAAGCATAGAAAATCGTGGGGTTTGCCCGGTCATGCATCAACATCGATGGCAAGGCCGAATGTTCATGATTCGAAGCACATGCTCTATATTTGGTGGGACCAGCTTGTGTACTATGGGCTGCTTCAATCGAATGAAACCATCACTGGTGAACGCTACCAAACACAATTAATGCGTTTGAGCCGCGCATTGAAGGAAAAACGGCCGCAATTCGAGCAAAGGCACGATAGAATAATTTCTCAACATGACAACGCTCGACCACATGTTGCTCGTGTAGTCAAAAAATACTTAGAAACGCTGAAATGGGATGTTTTACCCTACCCGCCATATTCACTAGATATTGCTCCATCGGATTACTACTTGTTCCGATCCATGGAACATGGCCTGGCTAAGCAGCACTTCCAATCTTACGAAGATACGAAAAATTGGATCGATTGGTGGATTGCATCAAAAGATGAATTGTTCTTTCGACGCGGAATCCGTATGCTGCCAAAAAAAAATGGGAAAAAGTAGTGGCTAGCGATGGACAATACTTTGAAAAATAATAATGTACACAATTTTTCACAAAAAAGCCTTGAATTTACAAAAACTACATCAAAATTAATTCACAGTCCATATATATATGGACATCCTGTATATATATAAATATATATATATATATATATATATATATATATATTGGGTTGCCCGAAAAGTAATTGCCGATTTCACGCATAGATGGCTTTGATGGTATTTGTGAATGTCTTATGTCAATGTTGTGTTTTGTTTTCTTCTGACGTTTGTCAACTGTCACTTTTAGTTTACTTTAGAAGCAAATTGGACGTGTTTTTGTTGAAAATTGTTAGTTTGGCGTTAGTTTTAGTATGGAGTCCAAAACGAGCATTTTCGTAATATTTTGCTTTTTTATTTCCGTAAAGGAAAAAACGCAGCGCAGGCTGCTAAAGAGTTACGTGATGTGTATGGTGAGGAAACCTTAAAAGAAAGACAGTGCCGAAATTGGTTTGATAAGTTTCGTTCTGGAGATTTTTCGCTCAAAGATGAGCAACGTTCAGGTCGGCCAATGAATGCTGATGATGAGCAAATCAAAGCCATAATCGAATATATATACAGGGTGGCCCATTTTAATTTCCCCAGCCAAATATTTCGGAAAATAATGAAAAATCAAAAAAATGTTTCAGACAAAAGTTGTATGGTTTCTAGGGGGACATAACATGGTACCATTGGTTTGACCTTGAAGAGTTATTTGAAGGTCACATGAAGGTCACCTTCAATTTCTTAAATGGAACCTACATTTTCTCATTACATATTCTTATAGCTTATCTCGAGAGCTTTCCAAAACACTATAATAAAATATTTTTTTATTGAGTACTTTTCGAGTTATGAGGCTTGAAATCATTTCTTAATTTAACATAAACCGTAATATATCTAGTAAAATATTCATTTTTCGATTATCTTGCTTTAATACTTTTATGTACAAAATAATGAGAGAAATCAATTGGTGTAAAAAAAACACATAGTTGTTTCAAAGAAAAAATATGTAATTGTTAATTGCAAATTACATATTTTTTCTTAAAAATAACTATGTGTTTTCTTTACACCAATTGATTCCTCTCATTATTTTGTACATAAAAGTATTAAAGCAAGATAATCGAAAAATGAATATTTTACTAGATATATTACGGTTTATGTTAAATTAAGAAATGATTTCAAGCCTCATAACTCGAAAAGTACTCAATAAAAAAATATTTTATTATAGTGTTTTGGAAAGCTCTCGAGATAAGCTATAAGAATATGTAATGAGAAAATGTAGGTTCTATTTAAGAAATTGAAGGTGATCTTCATGTGACCTTCAAATAATTCTTCAAGGTCAAACCAATGGTACCATCTTATGTCCTCCTAGAAACCATACAACTTTTGTCTAAAACATTTTTTTGATTTTTCATTATTTTCCGAAATATTTGGCTGGGGAAATTAAAATGGGCCACCCTGTATATTTTATATTTTATATATTTTATATATTTTAATAAATTTTATATATTTCATATATTTTATATATTTACAATACATTATTTTTATGGTTCCAAAAGTTGTATGATTTATCCATTACCAACCATTTCATGTATACATCACCCTTTTCCCGCAAAACTTTTTCCACGAGATATACGTCGGGATTAGCGACGCGTTGTAGTTCGTATACGTAGAATCCTCCAGCAATGGGATTTCCACGCGAATCTTCGAGTATAAATGTCGCGGAATTAGTTTTCTGCACCTCGATAATCTTAAATACTTCGATTGTCCAATTGGCGTGAAACCTTTTTCAAAGATGGTCTTGTATTTGCTCACGCGTACCGAATCGCCTACTTTAAATTTTGCCAGAGCCGCAATTTTTACGTTGCAATACACCGTATTTAAAAGTTTTTCGGCGATCGCCGGAGTGATGTCGACAGGTCTCATACCGATGGTGCGATGTTTTCGCGTATTGTACTCTGCAACGAGTCGAGATAGCTCGTCGATCCATTTGTAATTTCCATTCAGTGTAAACATTTTTCACATATTGTTATTTAAAGTACAATTGAATCGTTCCACGACCGAGGCTTTCATAACGGAATATGTCAAGTAATGATTAATGTTGTGTTTCTTCATGAGTTTCTGCACACTCGAGTTGTAAAATTCTTTTCCTCTGTCGGTTTGAAAATTTTTCGAACACCTTTTATCGTCTCCAATAATCTTTGCGATCGTTTCGGACATTTCGTTCCCGCTCTTACTCTTGAGCGGTACGGCCCATGCATACTTGCTCAACACATCGATAACCGTGAGTATGTATTTATGACCCTTGTTGAGTCGAGAGTACGAACGCATGTCGATTATGTCCACCTGCCACAGATCGTCGTATCCGCGTACAATGACGCGTCTTCGTGGAAAATTTCTTCTCGCCGGAGCA